CCTAAACCCCCGCAAACAAAGACAGGCTGAGGAAAACCCTGTTTTTTTTTTTTTTTTTTTTGCAATTCCTTCTACTGTAATCTCATTTTCCCCATTTTGCACCTGTGCACTAAGGAGATAGTGTTTGAGCACCATCTGCTGGGAAGCGGAGAGGAAAGGTGCTCAAAAAATCTCTCTTTTGTTACATAAATCCCATCCAGAGTATTCTGGCTGTAAGAGAAACTTCCAGACCCAGATAGGAAGAAACAATAAAAAAGTAAAAAATGAAAACCCGCAAGCAGTTAGAGGTCCAGGAGTGTGGACAAGGAAATTTCAAATAGAAGAAAGGAAGTGTCAGTGAGTAATCCTGTCTTTTTGAATATGGGTATTTTCTCTCCTGATGCGATGCTGAGGTTAAAGGACAGATAGCAGGGTATCAAGCAGCCATCCCCAGGAACAAACTTATGTTACAGTGCCACTAGCAGGTCCCATAGGAGAGAGGGGGAAAAAAGCTGCAGCTAGGTTACCCTCCCTTGATGGAGAGCAGATAGAAGATGAAAGGACATTATCGTTTTGCAACCCTTAAAAAGAGGCGTTTCAATGCTCCTTATTCATGAAGTGAAATTTTTTCTAGCCAAATCCCAAATCAAGGCACACTGATCTGATGCTTCATTCAGAAGAACAGTAAAACATCCTTGCCTTCTGCTCCCTTCCATGAAAAAACCTTGCCACAGGAGGTATAAATAGAGGGGGTCGAAAGTGTGCCATGTACTGTTTGGCTCCAAATGCCCAGACCCTGCTGGCTATGTCTGCACGACTAAAATTACTGTGCCCTGTCATATTTGCCTGCCCTTGGATCAGATGCCATTGCACAGGCCACCATGCAAAATTTTCTCTCCCCTAAAATGAACGCATCGCACAGGCCCATGCACTTCTCATTTAAGTGCTCTCCCCGCAAGCCACGTTCCCCTGTCCTCAGTCCAGGCGCAACCGACAGCACATCTGCAGCTGCTGAGGACCTGCCCTGTGCTGTCAGGCTGGTGCACCCATGTGCCTCACCCTGCTGGGTACCCAGTACGGCAGTGTGCTCTGCATGTACCCCAGGCTATCTGGCTTCTGGGAACTCTGCTGCTGCCCCTTTGTGCTTCTCTTTGTGCTCAGGTAGCCTTTGATGCTTTCTCAAGCCCCTGGAAAGACTACTTTCTTTCTCGGGGTTGAAGTGGCAAAGCCACAGCTCGTTCACGGTTCTGCAACATCAGGGGTCAAAGACCTGGTTCTGTGAACCAGTAACATCAAAAAGACGACTGCTGCCAGGGCCTGACAGAGGTCAACAGCAACGATGACTCAGGTCTAAAGCAATGACAGACAGAGCAGGGGCACTCCCTGTCATACAGCAGGGGCTTGGGCTTGTCCTACCAGCAAGCCTTGGCCTCCCCACAAAGTGCGACGTGAGGAGTGAAGAACCAGATGGAGAGAGGGCCACCTCTGAGGCCTTCCAGCAGGAGCTGCTGCTGGCCTCGCAGCACCAGAGCATCACCTCTAATCTCAGAGGAGAAAAAGACTGCCATCTGGAGCCTTACTGCCCCTGGCTCTATACTGGTTAGTGGGCAAGCATTTGGGTGTTATCAAATCTATGGCAGCCAGATCACAGACTGCAGACGTTTCACCAAGCCAAAGTAAATCCTCTACTGTCCAGTTCTGCCAGCTGTGGTTGTTGCTTCCAAGTTTCTTGCTTTGGGAGAGGTGAAAATCTTTGCTGTGAGGCAGAGAATATGGTGACAGTTTCAAAAGCAGTGTCATGTCCACCTTGCAAACACCTGGTCTGTCTATGTGTACAACAGCAGCCACAAACAAGTGCCTGCCAGAGCCTGTCTTGTTCAGGGGAGGCCCACATCCAACATGCTTGCTACTGTTACACCACATGTACAGGGGAGGAGGTGTCTTGCTCTCTGGTGGAGCTTGCTGCTCACCGTCTCCAGCCTCTGCCTAGTTGTCTGCTGCAACAGTGTCACAGCTGAGGAAATTACGGACGCAGAGCTCAGGGCATGGACATTGCCCACGGTCCACAAAAACACATCACTACCCTTCCAATTCCCTTAGTAAATGCAAAAAACAATTTTCACTTGCTAGAGGTAAGCTGGGGCTGGATTCTGTCCCTGGGCTGCTTGGTGTAAGCAACAACAGCAGAAGCAGAGGAAAAGGGCTTTCCTCTCTGCTGACATATGGGATCCAGGTCTTCCTCTCAGGTCTCAAGGAGAACTCTAGGAGTGAGCTGAAACTACGGACCAGGCCCTCCCTCTCCTGAGACACATGCTGCGAAGGACGGAGCAGAGACGCCCTCCCTCAGACCCAGCACATCTTGGTGTTCCCCAGCCAGCTGTACCAGCACTGCGGTTCGTGCTGTGCTGCACAACCTCATACACAGAGCTCTCAACTTCTCCAGGTTAACCTTCACTTGGATTGTGACTGCTGGAGTGCCCCGCCCCTACATCCCTGATGAGGACAGACAGCCTCTTCACAAGCAGTGACAAGCGCAACCACCTAATTGGGGCCTCAAGTACAAATTCTCCATCACTGACTGTGGCTCCATGAGAAGCCTCGCAAAAGGAGGTTAAAAAAAATCATTTCCATTGAGAACTACTTCGTAGCTCCTCACATTGTGATTGATCAATCCCAAAGAACCAGCAGAAGGAAACAAAATCCTGACCGTGGGAAGGAGCAGACCATGGGAACATGAGTATGAAAGCACGTTACACCAGAACTGGAGCCAGCTGGCAGACTTCTGCCTCAGGCTCGCAGACCTGGCGAAGGTGGGCGAGCTGCTTGGGAGCTGTGGCTGAGGCCAGCCGGATTCACTGGTCACAATAAGTGGGCGCTTGGACTTACAGCACCAGAGGAATTTTCTACTATATGAGAAAGGAGTCATGACACCAGACCAAAGAGCTGTCACAGCTCAGAATTGTCCCTCCAGTAAGAAACAACATCACTTTTTCGTCTGTGGTGATTATCCTCCCTGCTCCTTTTCCTTCCTTATCCTTGCGCCCTCCTTGCGAGCGTTTCTGTATCACGGAGAGCAGGAGGCAGGAAGAGAAGCGATGGGGACTCTGTGCTTCCCTGGTTCACCGCCACACATCTGAAGGGAGGCGGTCTGCTCAGGCTTCCTTTCTCAAGAGACTGGTTTTGTAATAGCAAAATACCATTTATCCTTGAATTCTGCTGTCATCTGGTAAAAACAAAACAAAACAAAACCACCAGCTCTCCCTTCCCACAACCTAGTGACAAACAAAAATGCAAATACGACCATAAAACATATCTGATGATGTGCAGAAAAAGGGAAATTCAGGACACTAAGCTATGAGCTCCCTGCAAGCCAAAAATACCTTCAGCATACCTTTTGAACCACCACCAGATTCCTTCAGCAAGCTAAGGGTGATATGGGGCAGACCATAAGCAGACAGTGCTCAGTGGGGATAAGCAGCAGCATGGGTGACAGCAGAGTTGAGGACGAGACCTTTTTGCTTATCGGTCTGGGTTGTCTCATATCTTCTCTTTCCTCCTCTACCACAAATCCTTTTAATTCCAGCACATCTATCTACCTGCTTCACATCCGAGCCTAGGCTCACCTTGCAGAACTTTCCAGTTCCTGCAGGTTTTTCCACCACCTTTTTTAATCTTTATAAAATTTTCCTGAAGCGGATCAGAATAAAACCTTAAAGCAGTACAGGCTGGCTTGTTCCACCCCACTGACAACTTCTGTCACCTTCTTCCTTTTCACTCAACTGCTGTAAGAGTTCCAGAGTTATATTAGCAGAATTAGAAACGTTTCTTTCCAACTACCCCCTCCAAGCCACAAAATGCAAACTTCAAACACAAACATCACACCACTGTTCTACATTTTATACTGGCATTCAAAACAAAGATATATTCAAAAAAATGTTTTAAAAGGGCTATTTTGAAGTTAAACACAGCCATACTGAAGCATAAAAAAACAATTAGGAGATTCATATACACATCTCCTTTATACTTGCTTATAGTAAAGCTATTTCATTAGTTAAAAGGAGATGAAGGAACAAATAAGAAAATTCTTTTTATTCTCAGGAAAAAACAAAATTTCAACAGAGCCACTTACCCTAAATGAGAATTCCAGGTTTTCTCCCCCCCAGACTTCCATTCCTGTATCATATGAACCAAGATAATCAAAATAGTTCTTGCTGACAGCAAACAATCCACCTGCCATGGTTGGAGACCTATAAAAGAGAAAAGTAATTCTGAATTGAATGAAAAGCCAAAAACATACACACGAATTACAGAAACAATGCAACAGATCAAAAGCATGACCTATTTTCTTTACCATTTTCTCAGTCCTTTTCTGTATATAAAATAACAGTTAGGCATTGATCAGTTAAGTATTATATTTTTTGGCCATTTAATTTAATTTTGTAGTAAAAAAAAATTGTATCAGAAAAGAGCTCCACAACGTATTAAAATAACAGTGAAATCAGAGAGAATAAGCACTGTGTTAAGATAAATTCTCACTATTACAGTGTCTTTGTGACTGGCAATAAAAGAAGACACTAGCCCCTTACCTTTAAATACAGAACATAAGCTTTTTTGTGGCAGAATTATTTTAGTCAGCTCTGAAATTGTATTTGCAGTTTCCTTATAGATTTAAGTAGTAAGTATACATGTTTGTGCTTTAGTGACTAATAACAACATTCCTGATCCCACTAATACCAATTGGAAAAACTCTCGGACATCAATTGAGCTGAATTCAGTAAATATAGCCCCTAAAGAGAGTTTTTCTTTTTAAGATCTGCCCATCTGTATTTTTGTTTTAAATGTTGACCAGGTTGAAGAAAATCAGAGGCCAAAATTTGAACCACATCAAACAGGCATTTCCAAAGATCACAAACATAGTTAAGGGATATACTTTCAGCAGGGTAGTGCGTGCATGGATATATAAAACAGATTTTGTTCAATTTTGTTCCTAATTGTTTGCAGGCTTGGAAAATGACGCTCTTTAAAGTGCAAAGCATACAGTGCTGGATGGAACTAAATTCAGCTGACATCTTATGAATTTTGCTAATGAAAATTAGCAAGCATTAAGCGCTGTGACCAGTTATTCTCAATCTATCCAACCTAATTTTTACAGTGATCTTTTTGAAGCAACTCCATCTTACACTGTCGCATGTTGTTTCAAAGTATGGGAAGAGATGAGGTGAGACAAAAAAAAAAAAAACACCAAACTTCATAAACAGTCAAGCTCTTCTATCTCACTCCAGATCGAGCCTTCCCAAGCACAGCTTGGGAAGCTGTATCATTCTCTCTGCTGGGCACTGCTGCTTTCCCCAGATAACCATAACACCTGCCAAGCTCACGGTCCTCAGTCCACCTTGCAGCCTTATCCCTCAGCATTTTCTCCCTGGCAGTCCAAAGTCAATTCCTTCTTAATGAGGACAAGAAAAGCTCTATGTTTAAGCTGGAGGCTTCTAAAAAAATTGTAATCTATTTAAAAAAATTTTGAGGATGAGGACTAATATATGCTGAGAAGCACTAAATTAACTGCCTCACTTTTCCCATTAGAAAACATGTTATCTTCCCTCAGTTGAGGATAAATTCATTAATATTTGTGAAGTCCTGGGTATTACCACACTAAGTGACCTAGAAAAGACTGAGGAAAATGAATCATTCTCTATTTGTTGTAGGCATTAAGATGATGGATTATAAATAAAGGCAAGGACTAATAAAATGGTGACGTTAAAAGTAGCAAACAGCTGCTTCATTTCATACAATGGCCCGCTGAACTACAGCAGCTTCCAAGCTAAGTAAGCAGCTTCCTGGGAGCAAAGTAGACCTTCACTTCCCAGGATCTTGTCTATAGCGTCCCTTTTCCAAATACATTGCTTGTAGACTCACTTTACCTCTCCTAGAAATACATTATAAGCTGACAAATAATACCTGCTGATTGCATCTTGTCTTAGAATAAAAGAAAAATTAAAACCCGTTATGAAGACATCTGCATGAGCTCCCAAGAGAGACTGGGGAGGGCAGACCTATACCCCTTCATCCCAAATGAAAAACTGGCCAACCTGGTTTACTTCTGAAAATAAAGCAAGGAACCACCACAACGGCTACAGCATAGATAAAGCCTTCAAAATTACTTCTGCCATCTTAGTGGTTTAAGATTTTTTCTCTTTTTCATTGTTGATCATGACACTTTTTATAAAATGTGGGCCCATTGCTTTGTACAAAGAACATCCTTCAATGTTAGTTGGTTAGACACAATTTTCCTCATGCTAATAAGTATTCATAGGAATTTGTGCTGTAGAAGTCAAGTGGTTACTTAAGGAACAAGGATTTCACAGTAAAGACCACAGAGGAATTTCAGCTTTTAGAGCAAATTTTCTTCCAGTAACGTGGTGACCAGGAGCTACTCTGAAAAAGGAGAACTAAACAAAATATATAATTTCAATGGAAGTTGTAAGCACTCATTTATTATATATATATTTACTTATTATTATTTTTTGTTACATATTTTTCAGCACCTGCCATTTCCAATCAAGGTTAAAAGCACCTACAGTATGCACAGTTTAAAAACAAGATTCATAAAAATTCACCTGATCACATCAGTCTTAGACTTCCTTCGTTTTTGCTCTCTTTCAGGGGTTACGTGCCAAGTGAAGACAAGTCTCCAGTCAAATCCGCCGATCTGTGGCTCCCCAGCATTTCCCAGGTACTCAAATGTATTCCAGTCAATAACATCGATAACAGGGCAGACGACAGCTGTCTCCTCCTCCCCAATTCTAATCGGTTTGTAAAAAGAAAGAGGTGACTTCTGTTAGAACTGTCTCTCAAAAACAGGAAGCGACAAGAACAGAGAATCCTTACAAACACAAACATAAACTTTTGCTCCTTTTCAACACCTGCTGCAACACAAGGTAAAAAATGGCTACAAGAACAGCCAGCAAATTTTGGTGGAGAGTGCATCAGGAGGATGCATCAGGATGGACCCAGATGCAGGCATCTGGCCAGCAGCATTCTTCTGGGACAGTGCAGGGGAGGTACACCAGATGTCTTCAGACAACATGCTCCCTCCTTCAGCATCTTGCTTGCTGTTTATCAAGCACAACACTGTTGAGTAGAAAGTTCTGTTTTGCTTTGTACAGGTGGCTGCCTTACAGATATTAAGAGAGAAGTGATGTGGACACTGAATTAAGTGGAATTCCAGGATCTCCTCAGAGGTGGAACTGTGGCATGTTTCAGCACAGCTGCCAGGATGAAGGCGGCAGCTAGACTCTATGGGCCTTAAGGTCATGGTTATTCTTACAAATGCAATCATCTCCAAAAAGTTACAGTGAATGCTAACTACAACAGTAATTCAGAAAGATGCCATGAACTTAAACCAAAACATCATATGAAGTTCCCACATGGGAATTAAATCTCCAATAGTCAAATACACACAAAGAAAACCTTAAGAAACTCTGATACCACAAAAAGGATAAACAAGATAGTGCTGAGGAAGTACATGTATATAGCAGAAAGGCTGTTCTAAAGGTAATTATCAGTACTAAGATCTGTATCAATACTAAGAATACATCATGGCTGATGTCAACTTCTGCAAGGAGATAAACTCCTTTTTCCCACTTCCACCATGCAGGGTTTTCTGGATTCCTTTCCAAGAGCATTTCTGCATTTCCTCTTACAAAAGATTGTAGAATCCTTCACCTTTGCCCCAGCTTCTGGAAAGTCTCTCGATACCAGAAGAGATCAACCTCAAGGCACACAAACTCAACATCAGACTTCTCTCCTAAATCGTTCCTTAGTAATGTTCTCTACGCTACTCTTAGGTCTTTCATGCTAGTTCAGTGACAAAGTGGCTCGTCTGACTTGAAGATGCTGGAACTTGTTTTAGCCGTGCATCTTCTGATTTGCATATTCCAGACAAGCAGAAAAATATGTGTGTTACATTGCCAAACAAGGAAGAGATCTGATGCATCTGTCACTCAAGGGGGATTAGTCACTCGTGGGATTATTAGGCTTAAAACCCACAGGCTGAATAAGGGGCTCTGACTCAGTTAAGCTCAACTCACAGAAATTACAGCAGGCTATGGTGTTTAAACGCAGCAGAGAACAGCAGAGGTCCCAAAGAAGCATCATTTGAGCTGAGAATGACTGCCTCGGGTACAAAATGGCTCCCTTTTTTGACATAGGGGACACAGGACAGAGCAAAAAAGAACTATCAGAGGGACACAGCTGTTTTCCCCTTTACGATCTCCTACTGAAATCTTGTCTGGCAACATGCACAGGAGGGCTTATACAAATATTGCGATCTGCAGTCTCACCTGCACAGAGCGTACGTACAAAGCAATGGTAACGATACACACAAAGGAAAAAAATTCTCAGTCAAACATAAAAATACTTTGCTGCTTCTATAAGGAAAAGGAGTAAAAAGGAAGCATCCCACACACGATTTAGTTTATAAAAGAAATCAGGTAAGTGAAAAGTCATCCCTTTTTCTGTAAGCTAAGATTTAGCTAGACAGCACAAAGCATAGGCAGTTTATGAACACAACTATGTCTGCATTACAGACATTACATTCTATTGCTTCCATGCATCTGAGCTAACCTTCGCCATGCAAACACGCCCTTAGAGATGTACATCTGCATCAACAAGAAAAAGGACACAAATTCCAAGAGATGTCCTGGATAATTCATCACAGAAGGCAATTCACTAGGCTTACAAATTAGCCAAACTCTTGGTTAAGACTGCCATCTAGTGATTTATCAAAACTGAAGCAATTATAGAACTGTCTCCACAGTTGTTTGTTGTTTCTTCAGAAGACAAGCATTAAAAACATGTTCATTGTTTGATTTTTACTCCTTTTGCTTTCTTTGCATTAGCTATTGTGTTTACAGTTAATCCACAATTACCTGAAATACTCCTGATGTGAAATGTTGGGAAAAAATTAAATATGACAAGCATAAGAAGAAAATAATTACTCCAGATAAATTTTCAAATGCACATTAGGAATTTGAGAGCATATGTTCCATTAAGAATCAGGAAGATTCACATGCCTTGTTACAGCATGTGCTCTTGGCAATATCTCTCACAGTTTATACACATCTTTTTTTTTCTAGCCTTTCTCTGAAGTCCACAAGACTTGGTAGGAAACTTTACAGGATATAAATCAAACCATTAATCCTGAGGAATTTTGTATTATGTTTTAAAGAGCGCTGGTTTTCTATATACAATGGTTCTGTGGTCTGACTCAGTACCTGCACATGGCCTCAGATAGGGTCTAGGCGCTAGGTGCCAGCGCGGGTAGCAAAAGCCAATACAGCTTTGTGTACACAACGCGGCAGTAGGAGGATGCTGCACCTGTGGCTCAGTCTGCAGCAGGGAAAGTACATGTATGATCGAGGACTGCACAGGGGTGAGGCTGCAAAAAGATCATAAATATCTGGAGCTTTAACGGAGATCTAGTATCCTGTACTTTTTCATTAACGGAAGTTTTTAACCTGCCCAACAGTTCTATGGTATAGATGAAAAACTACATAGTTGTAAATTACAGTATCCCAGGACAGATGGTGTGCAAGCAACAGACAGAACGTTAATTCCTCCCTGTCCTACCCCATGACGCTTTGTCATGAGTGCTTTGGGAAAGACAGATTAGTTGAAGCCTCGCAAGACAGAGTTTATTGACTTCACTTCCCATCTGTTTCTGTATATGTTGCCCTGCAGTAGTGGATTTTTCAGGACCCTCATCTTTCCAGACCTTTGTCTCATCCACTTCCCAGACTGACAAAGCAGCCACCTTTCCCAAGGTAGTTTCATAGCTGGGGGATGATTCCCCTTCCTGAAAACAATTTTTCACTTCTCTGAAGAGTAGCCTGGTCCTCAGACTCTTGTGCTATGGGAGAAAACAGAAATCCACCTCCTGCTTTTCCACGCTTCCATTCACTATTCCACTGCCAGGGGAAAACACTCACACTGCCTCAGAGACCACACTGTGGTGACCTTTGGTAAATGAAGAGCGATTTTTCCACTGCAGAACACAGAAGCGTGCCAGTCTTTTTTCCTTCTGCTACAGCACAGAAAAACAGCACAGAGTAACTTTACCTCTCCAGAAGTGGTTCGAGCCAGCCTTCGTGGCATTCACAGTGGCAATCAAGGAAAGTCAGGATGTCCCCTTTTGCTACTGAAGCCCCCAGCAGCCGTGCTCGAACTAGTCCTTCTCTCTTATTCGCACGGATAAGGCGCACCTTGCGCAAGCCAGCCACGTAGTTCTCCAAAGTCTCCTTTAAATGTTCTGTAACAAAAAAATGAAGACAGTTCTGTAACGATTGGTTTATGTCATGCTACAAAACGCTCTTTGTTCATTAGCGTATTGGAGCAGCGCCTTAGAGATACTGGTATTCTGAACACTGATCCTGCTATATTGTCTACAGAAAAGGACAAGGAAATAGCATAGAAACATGGATGGACAAAATGCTTATTTCCTTTACGAAATCAAATGTTTCTCATATTTCTATAATCCATTTCCAATTTGTTAAAAGTGTTTCAAATGTTACATAAAAGTTTAATTCTGAACACAATTCATATGTGGTGGAATACAATTAGTATTGCCTTGTGCCTCATAATTCAAATGATAATAGATAACTAGGTAGCTCCTTATTATATTTGACACCAGTGCAACCTTAGGACAGTCAGAACTTGCTCAAATTAGGAAAGCTGAAATGCTTTGACTCATGTTGTAAGCATTCATGCCACAACACAGCCAGCGTGCTTACCCGTTTTAAACTAAATTTGGCCCAAAACTTGAAATTTTCACTGGCATGCTACAGAAAGCCTATTTCCAACTACGTGCCTATGTTGTATGTAGCATTCTAGGGTGCGTTACCATAACAGTGTATCTTTTCCTCCTGTGACTGACAAAACCCCTCCGCTATTTAGAATTATTCTTCCTACCTTTGTCACTGTAATCATCCACAAGGATAACTTCTTCCAAAAGTATATCTGGAGATGTCTCAAGAACACTATGAACAGTTCGTAGCAGTGTTGACCAAGCCTCATTATAAAAAGCTATCACAACCGAGGTTTTTGGCAAGCTGTAATAATCATACTTCTTCTCTCTGCATCTGTAAGTTAAGGGACCACATTTAGTACAAGTGCAAAAGCATCTGTAAATTTTCAGAAAATTACTCCAAGTAGAGGAACAAGCAACGGCCAAAATATGCCTCACAGACCAGAGAAAGGCAAAAAACTGAGAAATAACAAATCTAAACGAGGTAGAAACAGTAGTAGAAATTACAGCTAACTTGTGTTTTGGAAAATAAGATAGAAGTGCTAGACATTAAAAATGTAACTGTGAAGAAATAGCAACACATAAAGATTAAAAAAGAGTAACAGAACTAAGGAGTATGTACAACAAAGCATAATTCAGGAAAGACCACAGAAACGCCAAGATAGAATAGTGAAATCCATAAAAACACAGACAGTCATAAAAACACATGGTTCTGGCTCTGAGAAGAGCCAGCAGGTTTGTAAACCTTTGGATTAAACTCCAGAATGTATTTCCTAAAAAACCAGATATATGCAGTTCCCTAAACGAACATAAGGAAGACGAGAAACTTCCAGACGAGCCAAAAGTGTACACTGTGAATTAAAGACTCTCCTATCTAAAACAGTTTACAAATAATGATAGTATTTATTACCTTGCCCTCTCCTTTTCTTAAAGCAGTCTGTATTAGCAGTTTTTTTATGTACCAACAGAAATGGTTTAGAGATTTCTGACTGCCTAGCTTACTGCTTGGGAGATCCAGGGCTTACGGGGCAGAGGGATATACATTAGTTTCTGTATAATGCTGGATAACAGCAGGTACCAAAGCAGGTAAGACATCCCTCCTATGAAAAGAGGATATCAACAAGTCCTCTCCAGCTATCGGGAGCTGAAGAGGGAAACCACAAGTTGACCAGAAGAGCGTACGTGATGGCAAATTCCGTTAGTTCAGTCTAGGAGCAAAGAAATTCTTCAAAACACCCAGCAAATGACTTTAAAAGAAAATGTTTTGGTTACCTGTTGCATACTGAGTATGTATTTACTGACCATTTAATGCTGCTGTATTAGTAACAAAAAAGACTTCTCATAGTTTTCTTCAGCAATTAGGCAATATTTCTTAAGATACAGGATATAGCTAGAAAAATGAAGTGTGACTCTGAATAAAGAATATTCCTAAAATAAGAATTCATATGAGGGAAAAAAAAGAATTTGGAGTACTTTTGTAATAAATATTTTAAAATGAGGAATCAATGAGGAAAAATGACATTTGGGCAAAGGGGGGAACATGCAATCGCCAAAATATGCCTCACAGATCAGAGAGTTCCTCTCAAACCTTAAATGAATGTTACACAAATACATTGTTACACAATGTATGCATGTATATATATTTATATGTATGTATGTACACACACACACACACACACACAGATATAGACACACACTAATACCATGAAGTACAAAAATGTCCATCCCTCTAGGCTTTGACACATCCTGAGGTAAATCATGGCATTCATGCAAGGAACTGCCTCAGACCAATGGAGAATGACAGAAGTGATTTATTTTGCCAAATGTTCATGCATTAACACATGAAAAAGCAGTGACATTTTAATTAGCATTTTTAAACAGAGTAACACAGTACAGATTCAGCTGTTTGGAATATGTATTTATTTTAGTCTATTGAAAAAAATTATGCTCAATATTGCCAAGATAACACTATTCTTATGTATCGCTGTCACTTGTACAGGTATTTTCAGTTCGTTTCTTGAGGGAAGCATTTCTTGATGGAATTTTAGGAAAACAAAGCGAAGAAGAAATAATTTAATAGGAGAAAACCTCCAGGACAGCTTTCTCTGGAAAATATATCAAAAAGATTCACGGAATGATAATGTCGTATGCCATTATTTAAAAAGGGAAAGGAAATCCAAAAGGTCTAAAGAGGCTTATAAACCTAATTATAGATGAAAGACTTTCGTGGATTTGCCAGAAATTTACATGCTGGAGATAGGAAACATAATCTGGCACAGAATGAGGCAATCCCTGCACTGTTTCTGATTCACTGCACATTACTGCCTCCTTCACTGAGCATTACTCACATTGCAGAGAATTGTCAGCCTCTTCTGGAACATACTAGAGTACATATTTCCTCAGTTTCTTAAGAAAGAGGCCAAAACTAAAAAAAGGCACTTTATCGAGTGCAGCTATGTTTCAGTTCAATTGTGGAACGCAGCGCAGCATGTAAATGAAGAGAATTGACTCGCCACGGCCAAGCCTGTCTCACTATCTGCTGCAGCAAGAAAATACCTCCCACTCTACATATAAAAAACAGAGCACAAATATAAACTTATAGAATACATTATGCTCACCTTTTGGAAAAACTAATTGTCATGTGTGCACCAACTAAAATTTTGAAACCTTTATAAAGAAAAAAAGAAAAAAAAAGAAGTTATTCTGATAATACAAAGATGTGCATGTTCACCTTGGAAATTATTTCCAAGACACATATTCTTTACTAGATTACGGCAAAATCACAACTGTCAGCAGGTCTCAAATACTGTTGCTAAAACTAAGACATATTTTTCCTCATCTTTTTGTATTGAAAGAAATTTCAAAGAGCTTTACTCAATCTTAAAAAAAATAATCCCCGCTTACAAACCTAAAGCATTTAAACCTTGGGAAAGTAATAGCCTTAGAAAATTATAAAAGGGAATAAATCTTTAAAATGGAAATGTGTAGAAGCGCTGAATTTTAATAATAAAAGCCAAATATATGAACACTAAGCATTAACATTTAGTAAGAAATATAAGCTTAAAAAAAACCACTACAAATATGAAACCTAATTCAAAGTGTAGCGGTCATAACTCAGCTTTTTCATTTCCCACCTTCCAGGTACAATAGCAGTATCTTAGCAAAACATGTATTCTGTATTCACCTTTGCAAACTTCCAGATGTATTTATTTTCGTTCTCCCTGTGTCACCCAAATATCCAAGCTCCTACCGGGTGAATCTTTTCACTTCTACTTTGGGTTATTCAGAAAAAACAAAGGCATATCAGTTACAACATGTCATTAAAATGACAGGGAGGATATAAACTGGTGATAGTAATCTAAAAATATGTTTTTGCCGATATTCAGAATGTATATGTATATTGCCTACATTGTAAGCTACTTTAAACTTCTAACTAAGGTGGTCTTTAATGCTACCTTCAAGATGCCTAACATAGCCCTCTCCCAGGATAGGGGATCAGCTTAGGGTAGGACAAGACTAATTGCATCCCACGTTAGCCGTATAAAAGCTAGGTATCTACTTTCAGATAATCATCTACACTCTGTATGTTCATAAAGGCAAATTCAGATGGAGGTCCACTTCACCCTCCTCAAGACATTTATGTAGGATAGGCAAATAGACCGTGGTAGGCTCACATCTCCCTTGTCTATAGGAAACCAGATGCTTCACTTCCTCATGGCTAACGTTAAGTGAGAGGAACCTACCTACTCTTGGTTCCTAGTCTTGGTCCTCTGACACACCATCTTGAACCTAGTTATCGTAACTATCAAATGGTTCACAAAAACATAACGTAGACATAAGGACATGACAGCCGGTTTTGAGGGGTTGCCAATCACTGTGACATGTCCAAGCATGCAAAATAAGTGAGAAAGCACTGGTATTCCAAGTTCGATACATTCCTTCATTGCTATAATTTTCTTCTTTAACTACAGCAACTTGACTTCACTTGCTTATATTTATAAATCGTAGTTTACATATATATACACATATATATGTATGTATATATATGTAAAATAAAAGTTATGCATAAGTTTTAAGAAGGACTTGGATTCCGATGCAAAGCACTGAAGTGGGTAATGCTAAGCAATGGGGCAATACCTTCTCAGCCACTGCTCTCCCATGGCTCCTGGTCTTGTAGCCCCAGTACAAAACGCACAGGCAGAGTCCTTGCACATGGCAGAGCTGCAGCCAGAGAAAAGGCAGCTGGGACTGACCCCAAAACTTCCCAGGGAGTGGCTGGATCCACGGTCCTGGCCTAGCAGCAGCCTACTTCTGCATCTTCCTTGCTTCCCTTCAAACCCTCTTGTTCACAGCAGATGGATGTCCCAGGAATTCTCCTGCTGA